GGCTCAGGAATTCTGGGAGTTGAAGTCCAGGAGTCATAAAAGAGCCAAGGTTGCCTACCCCTGCACTAAGCCATACATTCATTTGGTTTTAGTTTTCCATTATGTATAGGCCTAGGCCTAGTTTGTAGTCCATGGATGGTGGCTTAGCATTTTGTGTGTGAGTGAGCCATTGTAACACAATTAACAAATCAAGGTTAAAGTAAACCAGGATTTCTTTTTAAATTATAGATTAAACTGGAACTATTAGCTATTTGGGAGCTGAATAATTACACTGAGGCAAACTGAAATTAGTGAGGATCCTAATTCCTTTCTTATTCCTTGCTTGCTGCCACATTAGGCTGAATGAATGAACAAACAAACAAGTAAATGGAATTCAGAATTGGATGTGATACAATAATTATGCCTTTATTGACCATAATTAATATCTTCTTTTATCTGAATCCTTTCCCTTCTACTTCCCCTTCTCCTTCTCCTTCTCCTTCCTCTTCTTCCTCACTCTCTACTCCTTCTCCTCCCCCTCCTCCCCCCCTTCCTTATCCCTTATCCCTTGCCTTCTTTTTCCTTCTTCTCCTTCTCCTTCTCTTTCCTTTCCACTTCTCCCTTGCTGCCTCCTCGTCCTCCTTCCCCCTATTAGACAGATTTACCACACTCTGAGCAAACTTTTTGTCTTCTTGCAGGTCTTGGAACATGTGAAGCTGCGAAGCGAGAAGCTGTGGGATTTGTTAATAAGGTGGAACAACTTATTCAGGAATCAAACAGCTCTCATTTTCCTTTCGGACAAAGCTTTTTAATGAGCCAAGGGTCCATGTTAAGAGGCAGAGAGCTTTGGAGTAATTTTTCTCAGCTGGAAAGCACTTTTGCAGAAATACTGTTGGCAGGGAGCGATTATGCCATCCAGTTGGCTGCACAATCAAGTATGTTAATGAAAAAAATGATATATTTTTTTAGAGGACCCTCAAACGGTGGTGGTCCAGTCTACTTTAAATTACTGAAGAAAGAATGAGCATTACAGGATTTGCATGGGTGTCTACAGGAAGAGGATCAAAAAGTCAAGATGGCGACCACACCTATATGATTGAACATCTGGGTATTGATCACATGGTTGTGGCCACCATCTTAACTGTTTTGACTGCCCTGTGGATACCTCTGAAGGCTTTGTTTGGTTCGCATGATAGATATTATAGGAGGAGAACCATGTTAATGTATGGCGTTGTTTCTCAACTTTAGCAACTTTAAGATGTGTAGACTTAATGATGGCTGGGCGATTCTGGAAGTTGAAGTCCACACATCTTAGAGTTGCCACATTTGAAAAATACTCATCTTCAGTAACCAGAGATCACATGGACTCTGATAGGGTCTTTCAGTCTACAGAAGAGATCTTCAAACTTGGCCCTTTTATGATTTGTGGACTTCAACTCCCAGAATTCCTCAGCCAGGCACGCTGGCTGAGGAATTCTGGGAGCTGAAGTCCACAAGTCACAAAAGGGCCAAGGTTGAAGACCCCTGGTCTACAGCTTAAGTCGTGTATTAAAATTTGTTTCTGCACCTTTCGTTATCCCAAAATAAAAAAAAAACAATGAACAAAAATCAGGACCAGTTCTTGGCATCTCCGTGTTTGGCTGTCCAGCCTTCCAAGATGAACCTCTAAAACAGGGGTATCCAACCTTGGGAACTTTAAGACTTGTGGACTTCAATTCCCAGAATTCCTCATGGAGCCATGCTGGCTGGGGAATTCTGGGAGTTGAAGTCCACAAGTCTTAAAGTTCCCAATACCCCTGGTCTAAAGGTTTATTTCTCAGCAGGGGAGGTTAAAAGAAGGTTATTACAATGAAGATGTTCTAAGGAAGTATTTGTGCTAATCTGCTGTAGCAACAAACAAATGCCTAGCATTTTTGTGACATTAGAGAGGCTAACAAGTTTATTTTCAACCCAATCCCCTTCAGCAAATATACAGATTCAAGTATGGCACTTTTTTTTCATATTCTCTTCTTGGGGAAAAATGATATAGTTAGGCCAGGGGTAGGCAACTTTGGCTCTTTTATGACTCGTGGACTTCAACTCCCAGAATTCCTGAGCCAGCCATGCTGAGGAGAAAGGGAGAGGTTTCCAAGCTGAGCCATGCTGGCTCAGGAATTCTGGGAGCTGAAGTCCACAAGTCATAAAAGAGCCAAGGTTGCCTACTCCTGAGCTAGGGAGAGAATCACATGGGGTCTAGTGGTAAAGCAGGATTGCATAAATTGTAGAATAGAGAGATAAGGAGGCTTGAAGATATTAATAATGATGAACAGGGAGACAAAGAAGATGGGCCCTTGTGCCTCCTTTTATATCAGATCTTACTTTTGAATGATCCACATAATAGCGACTTATGAATCAGTTGTAGAAGAGTTCTATGTTTTCTATTGTCTACATCTCTGGAGTGGCCTTCGTTGCTTAAGCTATGCTTGCTTTGTTTTAGCTTTGAAATTTTATCGGAAGAGTCTGTTTGCATCCCTGGACTCTGCGGGGGAGGCTCTGCGCTTGGCCTTTCTGCCTTATATTCCCCAGTGTGATGGACAAGGGAACTGGGAGCCCATCCAGTGCTATGAGAGCACAGGTGAGAAATAGCTATGAAGACGTTTGCCTGAATAAACATTGATGGTCTTTCATGGCAGATAGATACTATGGTAGCAATTACATAAGCTAATCCTCTCTTTTCCCCTTCTTCTCCTCCTTCTCCTTCTCCTTCTCCTTCTCCCTCTCTTCCTTCCTTCCTTCCTTCCTTCCTTCCCTTCCTTCCATCCATCTTTCCTTCCTTCCTTCCTTCCTCCCTTCCCTTCCCTTCCCTCCTTCCTTCCTTCCTTCCTCCCTTCCCTTCCCTCCTTCCTTCCTTCCTTCCTTCCTTCCTTTCTTTCTTTCTTTCTTTCTTTCT